TACCGACCTATGCGATGCAGACTCCACTTGAACTTCGAGTACTGCAACTGTAAAGGGAGTTCCCCTCCTTACAGACAACACTAGGACTGCTGAAATCAGTCCTCAACTAGGTCTGTCCTATACAGACCTCTTCTTAGCAGTCGAATAGCTGCTAACTACTAGAAACTAGTAGGACTTCAGCTTCAGGGTCTTACCTCCCTTGCGCCCTACAACCAAGGGAAACCCTAGGTCGAACCTTGTGTTGTTCTCCTGCAACCCTAGGGTTTCACAGCAGCAACCCAGATAAAAAAAAAAGTGAAATACAGCAAGAAAGAGGAGATGACGTCGGCAATAACCAGGAAGGTGCTCAATGCTCTGATACCATGAAAGCTGAACCACTGTAGTCGAAGTAGCAGAAAAGAGGAGAAGAAGAAGAGATGCTGGAATGTTGAACTGTACTTACAGTCGACCATGCCTTTATTTATATATGAGTGAAGTACAAAGTACAAGAAATTACTGGGATACCCCTGATTAGTGATGGGACACCCAGAAGACTTAAGACATAAACAAGATTAGGCCCATTAGTAAAGGCCCAGTTATAAGATAAGTTTAACATAAGAATGGGCTAATAGGAATTCTTATCATCCGAACACACTCAAGCCTTCTAACATATCATTCTAACATTTTGCACTAGTAGCAAAGATGAACACTATCAGAGTTTTACTATCTCTTGCAGCCAATTTCTCATGGCCATTGTTTCAGATGGATGTTAAAAATGCCTTCTTCAATGGTGACTTGCAAGAAGAGGTGTACATGCAATTACCTCTTTGATTTTACAGTGTAGAAGTATGAAAGAAGGTCTGCCGGCTTAATAAGGCTTATATGGACTGAAACAGTCTCCCAGAGCCTGGTTTGATAGATTTAGACAAGCTCTTGAAAAATTTGGTTATGTGCAAGCCCAGTCAGACCATACTCTTTTTATTAAGAATGTGGATTCCTCCTTAACACTTCTTGCTGTATATGTGGATGGTATTTTAGTGACAGGGAGCGATACCCGTGAGATTGATTGTCTTAAGCAACTCCTTCACCAAGAATTTGAGGTCAAAGACTTAGGAGAGCTACGGTATTTCTTGGGTATTGAGGTAGCATGGTCTAAACATGGGATTTTTGTTTCCCAAAGGAAGTATGTTCTTGATCCGTTGGAAGAAACTGAGAAGCTAGGTGTTAACCCTGCTGACACACCTATTGAACAAAATTACAAGATCAGTGCAGAAGGTGGAGAGCCTCTTGAAGTTAAAGTTATGTTCCAACGGTTGGTTGGAAAACTTCTCTATCTTTGTCTCACACGACTAGACATCTTTTATGCAGTCAATGTTGTTAGCCAGTATATGCATTCTCCTAGAACCACTCACCTACTTGCAGTTGAGAGGATATTGGCGTATTTGAAGAGATGTCCAGGCAAAGGTATACTCTTCAAAGATAATGGTCACATGAAAATAGAAGTTTACACAGATGCTGATTGGGCTGGATGTGTTGATGATAGGAGGTCTACCTCTGGGTATTGTGCTTTTGTAGGAGGCAATCTTGTTTCTTGGGGAAGTAAGAAACAAAATGTTGTTGCTCGCTCCGGTGCTGAAGCTGAATATAGGTCCATGGCGAATGGTGTGGCTGAAGTGTTATGGTTGAAATCCCTATTTGAGGAGTTGGGTATTGCTTATGAGAAGCCCCTAATGCTGTAATGTGATAATCAGGCTGCTATTAACATTGCCTATAATTTGGTACAACATGACAGAACTAAGCATATTGAAGTGGATTGACACTTTATCAGAGATAGAGTTGCTTCCCAAGAAGTGTATCTTCCATATATCACTTCCAGCGTGCAACTTACAGATCTCTTCACTAAGGCAGTTTCCAAGACAAAGTTAGAGGTAGATCTATGCAAGTTGGGAATGACTAATATCTATTCCCAATTAGAGGGGGAGTGTAGAGATGTAGAGCATTAATGTGGTCCCCTCTACTGTTTGTCTATCTATGTTACTTATGTCACTTAGTGGTAGTTGGTAGTTATTTTCTGTTTTGTATTATTTCTTAGCTTATGTAAGCAATAGGGGTAATTCTGGTTTTTACCCTATTTAAACTAATAACATAAATAGATGAGTGGGGTGGCAATCTATGTTATGGCCCACACTCTTTTTTGATCTTCTTCTCTTCTTCTTCTCCTCTTTCTTCTTCTTCTTCTTCTTATTCTCAAACTTTCTTTCTTGTTTATTGTACATTACAACTAGGACTGATTGCAGTCCTACTAGACAACTACCTTATCATGCAGTTGGCCGATCTAGAACTGCATGATGGAGCAGCTCAAGAAATCTTTAAACTTGCTCTGATACCAAGTAGAAAAGCTTGGACAACCTGTTTTGATATGAAAAAGAAAGAAGAAAAGAAAGAGAAGAAAAAGGTTTCTGCTGAGAAAGAGAGGGAAGAGAGATAGAAGAGAATGGGAGAAGCTTAGAATTAGGTCTGGCGGCCCCTTTCATTAGATTATATACTCATAAATAAAAGAGAGTACAAAGACAAGTATGTCCTTAGTAAGTCGGCTACTTGTGAGAACTTAAAAAAACACTCTTAAAAACATAAACTAATGGGCCTAAGGCCCAATAACTCCATAACTATGCTATGTAAATAAAAAACAAGTTATATCAGCCCAAAACTCATCATTTGGCATCCAGAAAAACTGCATTTATGTCATGTTTTTTCTTCTTATCAAGAGAGGACTGAGTAAGAAGCTAAGTTTCCTCTCTTAATTACTCTCCAAGAATTATATCCAAGTCAAGTATGTTTGACCATACTGTCTCATAATCAGACCGGAGATGCATAAAAAAAATGCATAACTTTCCTCTTATCAAAGTGCTTCTTCATATACTTTACACACCAATCTGTAATTAAATCTCCAAGGTGAACCAACTCATATTCAGTCTAAAGGTTGACGAAACCAGCATAGTTCTCCAGAATCCTTTTCTCCCCCTAAGCATAATAAAATATCTCTCACTCACTCTGATATTGCCTGGACATGTTTGATTGTTGATACACCTTTTCAAGGTATTCAAACATCTCATATGCCGTTTTGATCCCCCTCATTGGGATAGAAACATCATAGTGACAGATCCGAGAATCCAAGACACAACCTATGCATTTTCTGTTTTCCATTTCTTCAGCCCCTTGACATCACTAGCATCGGGCATGTCTGTAGAGCCATCAATATAGCCCCATAATCCTTTCCTTTAAACAAAATATTGGAAGTGAAACTTCCAAAGTGCATAGTTGCTTCCATTGAACTTTACGGAGATTATTTTTCCTTTCTCAAGTCCAATAGTGAACAAAATATAGAAGGGATAGCATAAAACAAGCAATACAATTACAAGAAGAAATCCAAAAGAGTTAAATGAGGAGAGTTAAAACCTCTTACAACCAAGAGAAGATGTCCAAAAACAGAGAACTGAGATCTGAAATCACAGTCCAGAAAAGGAAAGTAGGCCTGCTGCCGCCCAAGATAGATAAATAGAACTCCTTTAGTACTTGTCTGAAGCCAATGAAACTTTCAGAATATGAAGAATAGGGTGAAGCGACACTTCCTTTGAAAAGGAAAGTATGCCTGCTGCCACCCAAGATAGATGAATAGAACTCCTTCAGCACTTGTCCGAAGCCGATGAAACTTTCAGAATATGAAGAATAGGGCGAGGCAACACTTCCTTTGAAGTTTTATCACAAACTAATGTCTTTTAAGAGAGATCTAATGAGATTTCTCTTGTTGGTTGTGTGAAACAGAGAAAACTGGTTCTTGGATTGATCAAAACAGTTCAGAACCAATCACTGGAGTAAATAAAGACAAGTTGATCTGAATGTACTAAAAACAAATCAGAGAATAACCTGCTCTGATACCGTGTTAACCTTATGAAGGGATGAGAGATCCATCATATGGATGGCCGAACCTTGCAGGAAGGTTGGACGAAATTTCAAAAATTTCTCTATCTCCCATGTGGGAATCACATTCCCAATTTTAGAAAACTGCATTTTCAAGGATCAACCTTGAAACCAAACTGGACCATTTATATTAAATGGCATAATGTACATCATTTTGATTGAAGCTAAGGGCATACACTGTCTAACACCTTACAGAGAGAGAGAAACAAGAAACTCCAAGGTTGTTAGGGTTGATCAAGTATTCATCCAACCCAGAATAGGCATATTTATATTAAAATATGAATAGACAAGATTGTCCTTACAAAAGAAATAAAGTACAGAGCTGTACAAAATGTCCATCGATGTCAAAACTTCAAAACATGATTTTGATAAGTCATACTATGAAAAAAATCTATATAGTTAATTAAATTTGGTAGAAGCATGGTATATAGGATTCACATAACCACATCCGTGTCTATAATTCTAGGAAATGGAGAGGTGTGTCCCCAATTATTGCATCCTAATCTGAGTCAGTACTATTCCTATCTGGGCATTATAGGTTTATATTTAAATTTCTTTCGGACATGGATGCCTTCTTCCTATTGTCATGAAGATATATACAAATTTCTAGCAAATAAATGACTATATAAAACCAAATGAAAAATTTAAGTTCTGAAATTGCTTGGGGTTTTCTTCTTGTTGTGCAGACACAGTTATGTTGGTCATTCTTCACGGACTAATGCTTCTGCTCCTGCTGCACCTGTTTCAGTAAAAACAGGTATCTCCTTTCCCTACCACTCAGGGAAGCTTGTAGGGATATCTGGGTGTATCTTTTTTGATTTGGATAATATGTTAAACAACCTTACATGCTAAACTTCTCTATTACCTAACAACCTCAATGAGACAAAAGTTTCATTCTCAATGAAGCAAGAAAATTCATAAAAAGAATAAGTGGTCAAAGATCAATTTATCCATTTCGCATACATTTATAATATCACTTTTCTTTTTAAACAAAATCCTTTTCTCGTCTTTGTAAAGATTAAATTTCTATGCTCTGTAGCTATAGATTGTTACCTGAGCTATTTTCATGCGAGAACAGGTGATGCATGGGCATATTGGGACACTAGAGCTTCTCCTGAAGACATGGAAGAGTTGTGGAAGCATCCTGATGTCCTTAAAGAGTGGGCCAAGTCTAGAGAGAGAAAAGGGCAAGTGCGATTTTCTCATGATGCAGAGAAGAGACCATACCTTTCTCGGATAGAAGTTATGGTAAGATTGTAGGACATAACTAACATAGCTATGATTTTTATTGGACATCTAATGAATAGTTTATATATAATTCTACATATCTCATAGCTTATGACTGTTCTCACGTTTCACCATTTTCTTCTTCTGCTTTTTGCTTTTCTGTTCTTGATTTTTTAATGATTAGCTCTACAGTACCTTGTTCCTGATTTGTACTTTTTCATAGTGAAATTCAATTTCACAATCATAATCAAATATTTTTTTATCAAACAAGAATCTTCCCTATAAAACCTTAAGGTTTAAACATAATTTGTAATAGTAACTTAAAGGTGGTTAACTTGTTCCTTGCCAGGCAATAAAAGCTTGTCTAGGATCATTTGAGAAGATTAGGAAGTTTAGGCGTATGGGTTCTGTTTCAGGGTCATTCGAGTAGGAGTAGGGTGCATGTGGTCATTTTGGAGTTTTCTCTTCATTTTGAATGTTTCTGTTCGGCGTCTTTGGGTGTAACTGTTTTAGTGTTGTCTTTTCTCTTGGGTGATTTCTTGTCACCTTCCCCTTTGTATTCTCGTTTTATTTTAATGAATTTTTCTTTACCCTTCAAAAAAAAAAAAAAAAATAGAAGCTTGACTAGAAACCTGAGTAGAAGCTAAATGAGCAAAAGAGGTGTTCCATTCCCTTTTTAGACTTATGAAGCATTGATTGTCTTCACTATGTCCTTTCTCTCCATCATTGTATTTCATTGTAATTCTAAAACCTAAATTCTAGCATGATGTTGGGCAAATCTAAGACCATCATGTTTCTAAGAGCAGTAACATGAAATAGTTGTAGGAATTAAGTATAGCCAATTATTGGCTGCTCTTTGAGGTTTTTTTTTTTTTTGGAAATTCTTGTTATGTTTCTGAGTTTGTCTGAATGATGCTTATTAAACAAAAATAGTATAGAAGATAATACTGGCTTCATCAAATTGTTAACACCGATAAGAATGGAAAAATAAGGAAAACAGTAACATGTGCTTCATTTTGCAGGCAGTTGCTGAAATCATTATTTCAAAACATTTTAGTTCACGATCAATCAAACCTGTAAGTTTATTTTTCACTGGTGAAAATCCATATAAATCAGTAACTAATAAATAGTTTCACTGATGCCTTATACTTTTCTTTATCTATTCCCCCTAATTTTTTACTCATGGTGATGTATTACCTCGCTAAATACTTGTTAGTAGTTGTGGTAGTGCTTACATTTAAAAAAAAAAATGCTAATGATTTTACCTTGGTGCAATTAGGGATGGCAATTTCCATCATACCCGGTGGGTGCCCTTTTTTTATGAAAAATAGATTTTGGGGCAGGAACAGGTTTGAGGATTTTACACCCGTACGGGTATGGGTAGGGCACAGTTATGCTAAACATGATCCTCCCTGGTCCGTATATTGAATCTACTAAAATACCCCTGGTTCTTATAATTAAATTACCAATTTAACATGGGATGCACATATGTTTTAAATTGGAAGACCTTGAGGCTTCCTCACCTAGTAACCCTCACTATTCACTCAATATATTTCTACATGTTTCAATCAAATAATTGGAAAGTTTGATGTTTGTTCATGTTATTTTGCTTGTTTGTTGCTTATATATAACAGGAAATTAGATGTAGGTTCTGGTGCAACCATATTTTGATGCTTGTTTGTTGCTCCAGTTGTTAAGGGCAGGCTTCCTCACCAAATCAGCCTCTGGCTTGGAAATTAGATGCAGGTTCTGGTGCAACAAACAAGAAGTGTTCTTTGCTCCAGTTGCCAAGATCAACTCAATAAGAATATGGTGCAACCAAATCATAGCCTTTGTTCCAATTTGATGTGAAAAATGCTTTTCTCCATGTCAAATCCGGGATCCTAGATGTTAAGGGCAAAGCATGTAGGTTGAAGAAAGCTTTGTATGGTCTAAAACAATCTCCAAGAGCCTAGTTTTTAAGGCTTAGTCGTTCCATGAAAAAGATAGGGTATAGCTAGTGCCAAGCTGATCATACCTTTTTTTATCAAACAAGGAGATAAAGGGACAGGGATTGTCGTCGTGTATGTGAATGGTATAATTGTGACTAGGGATGGCCAAGAGCAGATTTAGCAGTTGAAGTCCTTCCGAGGGAAGGAATCTGAGATCAAAGATTGGGAAGATCTTTGTGTTGAGCAGGAGACCAAGAAGAAGAAGAAAAGAAGGAGAAAAGAAGAAGAAAAGAAGAAGAGGAAGAAGAATAAGAGGCAACTGAGTTAAGGCCTCAACAAAACTTAGCTTCAGTCGAGTGAAGCTTTCTATTTATACTATTCTGGCCGTACATAACAAT